AGAGCTTCATTCAAGTCATTGCTGACTGTGCCCTCTACTCGGAATGCCTTCTCATCTTCAAGTTCCAGTAGCTCCCTGAACCTTAGCAAGGTGCAGTCTTATTTTTGAATTCCTTTTCACGTGCAGCCTTCATTTTTCTAACACTGGATTTTTCCCTGACCCCTGTTACCTCTTCTCTGTCACTGATTATTCGTTCAGCTGTTCTATTTGAACTCTGACCATTTGATTCTGTGTCTCCATCTTCATCCTTTCAAAAGCTCCCAAGAATCCATCCTTTTGGCCATGCCTGGGACTCCCCTCTTAAACCTGCCATATTTCCTTTCTCCACTCTTGTTTGGTGTTTATTCCTCTAAATGGAGAGCATTTGAAACAAGGAGGGGTCTATAGAATGCAAGTTCTTCTTGCTAAGATACAGGGCTAGCAAGGCATGAAGGCTCAAAAAGGTAACTCTCCTTTTCTGCCAGGTCATCGAGTTGGTTCAAATTCTTATAAAAATGTTGCAATTGATTGGTATGTTATTATGGCAATAGAAAACAAGTTCTTGCCCAAATGCAGCAGCTGATTTTAAGTATTGTAAGCTGGTGCTATCACTAATAGGAAATATAAAAATCAAGCCTGATATGCTTTTTGAGAATATGGAACCTTCCTTACAAAGGCAGTTTCATTGAGAAATGTTGAACAGCTTTGTAACAAAGACCACATTGTTGAGTTGATACAGAAAATTGGCATCATAGCAGATGTGTCATGGATTTCATAAGCCTGTAACTGCTTTTAAAATTAGTCAGGACAATCAATTTTTAATGGTTTTGCTATTGTTGCCAAACTGGCAAGGACTGTGCTCCGAAGTCTTAATGGTTGAAGCAACAAATAAATGCATATCCTTATGAATCATAATGATCATTGACCAAGATCCAAAGCCATAAATTTCATGTATGTATACATATAATGAGAAAGTTAAAGGAGCCATGGAAATGTTAAACTCAGCTGTTGTATGTAATTCAATTGATACCTACCACAATTGCAACAGTCTGTATTCAATTATATTTTTACATCCAAACATGTCATCAATTTATAAATAGTATTCTAACAAAAAAGGTTCATTTTCAGCTGGTGAATACAAACTTAGTAATTTTCCAGCTTTCTGTTACTAATGCAGAGTCTTGCACACTGACAGCACACACTGGAAATTTAAACAATGATTGGACAATCAACTGCAACACGTCGGAATTTCCAGTGTGCTCTTTACAAAAGTAAGGCCAACCTGGCAGCAGCACACACTCACTTTGCTGCACAGTAATGTAACACTTCAATAAATACCTCAGTCCAAGATGAAAACAGAGGTACCGTCACCTGTTGACTTCCTTTGAATCATATATTTATCTTGTATTTACTTCTTTTTCTGAAGTATGAATTACATATGTTTAGAGACAAATTGGCTTCTGATATTGCTTTCGCAGGCAACAGATTAGAAAAGAATTATTGGGACAGTCCCTTTATAATCAACATCTGGACAATAAAATAAAGTGAGCCAGACATAGCTAAAGTACATAACCGATTAGGAAACCAATGAAACTCTCAGCTAAGTATTATGACTCCACTGAGGTTTGAGGCAGACGTCAATATGTCCCTCAAATGTTGTATTTTTCACGTTGCATCATTATTGCCATTAGAAATAGACCACCAGAACGTTATTAATAATCTTATTATTCTACATCCAAAATTAATCCTCTCTTCTGGCTTAGAATCACAACGTGCTCTCACTCTACAATCAATATTATTTCCGCACTGCTTTTAAGTATAATTAACACTGATGTTTGTCTATGCATAAGAGTATAGTCATTTATAACTCTAGAAAATACCAACTTGTTAATGGGCTCAGCCCCAGGGTTCAAAACAATACAATAAACCATTCATGACCTATATCTTCCTGTTGGTGTTCTAATACTCTTCCAACAAGAACTTGATAATTACGAACTGTACCTGGACAATTTGAGAACTATTCGCTGCACTTTGACGCAGATATATCTAATTTATCCTTTTTGGTCCAAAAATGTGTCAGAATTATAGAGATGTACAGCATGGAAACAGACCCTTCAATCCAACTCGTCAATGCTGACCAGATATCCTAAATAAATCTAGTCCCACTTGCCAGCATTTGGCCCGTATCTCTCTAAACCCTTCCTATTCACATACCCATCTGGATGCCTTTTAAATGTTGTAATTGTCCCAGCTTCCACTACTTCCTCTGGCAGCTCATTCCATATATGCATCACCCCCTGCATGACAAAGTTGCCCCTTAGGTCTGTTTTAAATCTTTCCCCTTATGCCCCCTAGTTTTGAACTCCTCCACCCAGGGGAGTACCACAGCTGTTCAAGAAGGTAGTTCATAACCACCTTTTTTGGGGTGTCATTAAAAACTAATGAATAGTATTTTTTCAAAAAACTTGTTAAGGGATGGAGGTGTTACTGGCTTGGCCAGCATTTATTGCCCATCCCTAATTACTCCAAAGGAGGTGGTTATGAGCTACCTCCTTGAACTACTGTGGTACTTGGGGTGTAGGGACACCCATAAAGCTCTTAGGAAGGGAGTTTCAGGATTTTGACTCCGGAACAGTGAAGAAAAGACAATATAGTTTCAGGTCAGGATAGTGTTTAGTTTGAATGGTAACTAGCAGATTACCATATTTCCCTACATCTGCACCCTTGTCCTTCTAGAAGGTAGAGGTCATGGATTTGGAGGATCCCATCAAAGAAGCCTTGATAAGTTGATGCATTGCACCTTGCAGATGGTACATATTGCTGCCACAGTACATCAGTGAAAAAAAAAAGAATGAATACTGAAGGTGGGATGCCAATGGAGTGGGCTGCTGCTTTGTCCTAGATAGTGTCAAGCTCCTTGTGTTTTTGCAGCTGCACCCAATAAGGCAGTGAAGAGTATTTCATCATAGTCCAGACTTGTGTCATGTAGATGGGAGTCAGGACAGGCACTGGGGAGACAGGAGATAAGTTACCCCCCGCCCCCCTCCCCTTGCTGTAGAATACCAAACCTCTGACCCGCTCTTGTAGCCAAAGTTTGTTTTTGTATTTGTAGATATTTTTCTAATCAACCTGCAGCGAGATGCTATTACATAGCTTTGGGGGTAGTTGGGACTTAAACACAGGCTTCCAGAGATAGGTAACACTAGTACTGCTCCACAGAAGCCCTTTGTTTGTATTTATAAGATCAACCAGAAACTGAACTGGACCAATGGTAACCCCTAGAATGTTGATAGTGGGAGATTTAGTAATGGTAATGCCATTAAACCTCAAGGGGCAATGGTTACATTCTCTCTTGTTGGAGACAATCATTACCTGGCACTTCAGTGGTACCCACGTTACTTTCTACTTATCAGCCCAAGTCTAGATGTTGTCCATGTCTTACTGTGTAAGGACATGGGCAGTTTTAGTTTGAGGATTCGCAAATGGTCCTGAACATTGAGCAATCATCAGCAAACATCTTCATGTCTGATTTATGGAGGGAACGCCACTGAAGATGGTTGGGACAAAAACACTGTCCACAAAACCTTGCAAGCCATCCTTGAAGGACAAGGTGATGGTTTAGATGAAATTTGTCAAAATGTGACTTTTTTTAGGATGCTTATATTCTGTGATTGAATAACAGCATTTTCTTTTAAATTTGAGTTTTTCCCATCCATTTTATTCACTTTCTGGCCTGCTCACAAGAACACTGACAAATTGTATACTGTCCAACATCCTCTATTGTCAACTCAACTGTCAGAATTTCACGCTGACACTTAGCATTTCTGGGAGCTTAGTCTACGTGTCAGCTTTTTCCTCACCAAAATCAGAGTGAACCAATCCTTCACCCTCAGCCCCACTCCTACAAGTCCTAATACAAATGGAAGTGATGCAGCTGCTTCATGTCATAGTTTGGATTTTTTTTCTTATATGCCTGGAATTCCTGCCTACAGCAGCTGGAATGACTTCCATTACCAGCAATATCCAAATTGGATGGCTTGCAGTGAGGGGTGCGATAGGTAAAATGGAAAGCAGTGAAAGGGAGCATTAACAATGAAGAATAAAGGGAAGGGAGAATGAAGGATAAAAAAAAAAGGGAGCAGGGGGTGAGAGCAATGAGAGGGAGAGAAGGCAGCGGCTGGACAAATTGTTTTCAGGTAGGGAGGGGGATAATGCTGGTTTTAACTGTAGTCATATAGGTGTGGGGAAGAAACTTGAATTCAAAGCAGAAGCACCCCAGCATATGAGGGAGGTGGAGGATATTGGATAAGGTTAGCTCAAACTGAGAATTGATGCAGAAACAGTGTCAGATTGACTGAAGGCAGAGGAATACTAATTTGAGAACATTTGAAATAAGTATACCCTTGGGAGAGGGAAAGAAAACTATCAGATTGAATTGGTTTACAAATGGGCAAAGAATCTCAAGATCAATTGTTGATGGGAGGAAAGAGAACAATGCTCACAAACTCCAAGGATTAAAAGGGATAACTGAACATGTGGAGGGATAGATAGAGAACATTGTATTGGTAAACTGAACTCGGGAGTGTCTACCTATATATGAGAAAGCAAGTATTTGGTTTATCTATTGAAGGTCCAAATATCATTGAGATTTTGGTCTAAACTAATACCAATTCTGAAGTATAAAGCTAATAGAATATGATTTTTAAAGTAAATTTTCAAAATCCTTGGGAAACATGACAAAACCCGTTGCAAACATCATACTTCAGGAATTTCGTTGTCTTCAATGTTTGTATTTTCAGACTTTAGTCTGTTTATAGTTTTCTTTCTGAAATGCAAGTGAAAGGTACATCTACAATTTACAGTTCAAACCTTGTGTAACTATGTTTTCGCGGATGAGTAGCTAATAATTCAGATAATCCTTGAATTGACAGCTTTTGTGGTGCCACTTTGCTCATCTTCTAGGTTAGCATTTATGTATAAAAATGTATATAATCCTTAATTATATTTCTTTGTTCACACAGTAACTTATCTTCTATTCTTGAGGATGAGAATTCAGTTTACAGGTAAGTTACTTTAATCATTATTTGTAACTTTTCAAATGTGTTCTAGCTTTAGTTGCTGAGGTTAGTAGTTTTAAAAAGAAATTTAGTTGGTTTCAGTTTCAGCTCATCATAGTCCGCACCTTCAGATCAGGTGGGTCTGGAACCCAGACCATCTAAGCCAGAGACAGGGACACTAATACTGTACCACAAGAATACCCACTGTGTTATGGATATTTTCTAAACAACCTGTTTACATAGCAGGTGGCACCTGAACACTGGCTTCCTGGCTCAGAGGTAAGGACACTACCAGTGCACCACAAAAGCCCCACCACTACAATACAACATGTAACATTTGAATGATGTGTGTGTTTCCTCAAGTTGTAAGTTCGTGAAGCTGTGCCCATTGTTAGACAGGATTTGTTCAGACAGAGGGAGCCAACATTTACACAGTAATTTGCCCTGCGTGCTTTCTTATGCACATGCCAGGGCAGGTTATGCACCGAAGCCTGATAGATGACACCAAGCCAGAAAATGGCACATGATGCAGAGGAATTTAAAGGCAGGGAAATCTTTTTCGAATGCAAGACTGAGATTTTGTGTTACTTAAGGCACCAAAATAATGTTAATAATTTAACCTAGTTCTTGAAAGCAGGTTAAAAGTAATGTTTAGAAAATTGTTATTTTGCTTTATAACATGAGGAGATGGCAACATAGTGATAATGTCACTGGATTAGTGATGCAGAGGTCCAGCCTAATGCTCTGGGGACAGGAATTCAAATTCCTTCATGGCACCTGGTGGTTATTTCAAAATTCCATTAATAAATCTGGAATATGAAATAGCTGCTGTCTGTCATGTCGACAACAAAATGATCACGTCTTGTTGTAAAATCGGTTCACCAATGTCATTTAGGGATGGAAATCAGCCATTCTTACCTGTGACTCCAGAGCCACAGCAATGTGGTTCACTCTTACCTGCCCTCTGAGAAGTCCTAGGAAGCAACTCAGTTTGAGTAATTATGGATGAGCAACAAATGCTGGACTTGCCAGCAATGCCTATATTCCACGAAAGCACAAGGAGGAAAAAGGGGAAAATTTCAATGTCTAATCAACACTTGACACAGAAACACTGGCTGAAACGGTGAACTTGGTAGCATCTTATAATCTCCATCATGGTGAGTTTTGTGGTGAGGACATTTAATGGGCAGGAAGGTGGCAATTGGGGGCAAGCTCATCTTCCCACCTCCACTCATTACGTCTGTGCAGAAAGGCCCGTGGTCTTCCTGCCCCATCGTGAATTTGAACCCTTAAGTGAGCAACTAATGCTCAGATAAGGGCCATTTCCTGTTCCCACTGTTACTCACAATGGCGGGTGTGCAAGCATAGGGAAGGGGTGGCTCATGTGGACAACGCAAGGAGCAAACTCTGCAACTTTGTTTGGAGGCAATAGAGGGGCTCTGTCATCCAAAGGCACTCATTATCTGATTGAGGGCGTGGCTTGGGGAAGATGAGGGGGACTTCTTAGGGTTACCACTTTGCCCTTGCTGCCAACACTTCTTCCCCTCCCCTACGAACCCCACCCTTTTCCTGCTGTCATTCACATGTGCGTGGTTCCCTCCTCAATCCAAGACCTCAGGTGAGTATAGGACTGGCAGGAGACACTGCGTCCTTGGTGGCACTGCTGAGTACAGAAGCACTGCATGCCTCTGATTGACCAACAGACCCAGGCAAGCAGGATCCCACTGGCCTGTTAAGTGCCAGAGTGGCACAAGATAAGGTAGACTTCCTTGGAAAGAGTTGATAGGCTGTCTTATTGGCTTTCCAACCAACATCCAAGACCCCAATCACCTCCACAAGATGTTGCCTTGGGAATCAGAAGATTGAAACACACATAAACTGACAGAAACTTTTATGAAGGAAGTACTTGACTTAAATTCTATGAAGTGAATCCAAATGAAACTCTTTGGAGTTACGAATGAGGTAGCATTGGTTTAACAGGATTCAGTTTGGACACAAAACTAAGAGTTCAAATGCTCCAACATTTAAAACAAAATGTTCAGTCATCATTAGTCAGGAAATAGGGCACTGTTGAATAGGACTGGTATAAGTGGTCCATTCAACTCTACAAATATGTTCCCAATGCATTTAATGATGATTAATGAAACATTCTAGTTCTGGTAATTAATTTAATCATGCCAATCAGTTGATCTACTGTTGTGGAGATAACTTAATTAATCACTGACAAATATGCATGAGAACCATTATAATACACACATGAATCATTGAAAAAAAATCATTCTGATGGTGCAATGAGTGAAGCAATGATAGACTCCCTCAGATGTAATGCTGAAATAACAGGCTGATTGAGGGAAATAATTTGGTTCCCGTCAAAATCTCAGTTATTAATTCCAGTTCACTTCCTGCTCCTCAGAGTTTTAACACTTTAGTTCAACATCTCAAATTTTCTGTTTGACACCAAATTGAGTGTAAATCCTCAGATGATCTTAGTGATGGGAGGGATACATAACCATCTACAGAGCATTTCTCACATTCTACTTAGTTTGCCAATACTCTCATTCCATTATACTGCCCAGATTTTTATTAGACCCCCAATCAGAATACATTGGAAAGACAACACCAGATTCTTTTACATCCTCAGTCCTTCTGTTGTCACTTTGGTGTTAGGATTTTTAGTCATTTTTAAAGGTGTTCTTACAATCGATCCCTGTGATGATTACTTTGTCAACTTTTAAAAAAATTCTCAGGTATGGATTAAAAAAAGAGAAATTAGTCGCTGTTGAATATACAAATGAAACTTTGACAGAGTCTTTGCATGTATCAAATCAACTCCAAACTGGTTTAATTCTCCTGTTATTTCATTAAGTAGTGTTCAAAGTAGTGTTTCCAGGTCAGAGTATTAGCAAAGGGCTTTGCAAAAGTAGTGGTTAATTCAGATATAATCAAATCCCAAATCAATGGTCAGGGATACTAGGTAACAAAACAAGAATTACATTCCTTAAAATGTAATCTCAATACTTACACTGGGAGTCTGCTTGCATGTCCACCACCATTGACCCTATTGGAGTTTGTGTTATTAGATAGGCATATGATTGGAATCAAGAAAGCACATACAAGGGGAATTACAAATGGACCTTAGGCCCTTTAGCTAAAAAGATAATCAAGTTTCCACCTATGACTGGAAGAGGTTGACAAAGTAGCATCCCTTAAGACTGATGATTTCCCCATATTTTAAAATGTTATTACAAATTTGACACTAAAATATTTATATTTTAAAATGTTTCCCTTTAGCTAAAAAATAAAAGGGAGATACTGATCATCCTAAACTGTGCCCAAGGCACAAGATCACCTGGGCCCCTCCATGGAGACAAAAGCCCAGGACAAAGCCCATTGAAACTTAACTGCCAAGTTTCACACCATGACACAACAGCTAGGCTGGGCATAAACTCTACTTATTAAACAATGAGATCTGAAGAGGAGACCAGGAAGTGCTGCTGTGCTAAGCAGAAGGAAAGAATATTTTGTGTTAACTAACAAACAAAATGCTGGTGAGAATGGATTCAGAATTTGAAGTTATGGGACTTGTAAAAATTTAAAAATTGAGGAGTTATTGGGGGAAGTCAGTTCAGTGAAACCTAGGACATTGAGTGAAGGACACTGGCAGGCTAGAGATGTGTTGAAACAATTTTTTTTAAAACAAGGCTACCCATCAGCTCAGTATGTTGCATAATATATAAATGGAGAGTGGGGCTTTTGGCTGTTTTTATTAGTTGGAGAAATTACTTCTGTGTATTTGTTGTCTACAAAGTAATGTTAAGAATGTGTAGAGTTTAGTGTATTTGTTACAGTAAGAGTCTCAAATACAGAATCACATGATTTCTTTTGTTGTTCATTGAAAAACGTATTTCTTTAAGTTATCAGTCTGTATAGGATTCATAATCAATTATGAGCTCTTAGGGGATTTGAATCCAAAAGTTGGTCAACAGGTAGGCTAGAATTTTCCAGAATTGAAAACAAACATATTTAATTTTATTGTATTCATTGAAAATTCAGTATGGTGACTTATATTGCTCAGGCATTTCTAGAGGGAAGTCCCACTTTGTAATTACAAAAGCTAACAAGCTATTTTATAGGTAGAAGGACAAAGGAATTGGGATAGACTTGAAAACAGGGGTTAAAATGGGAAATCATTGAAATGCAGAAGTTCAAGGAAGAAACATAATGTGAAAGCTTGAAATAGCGTCTTAAAGAACAAGGAAAAATTCTTGAAATCCAAAGGGAGCGAGAAAGAGAAAAGTTAGAGGAGTTGAAATAAAGAAAAATCTCAAATTTCAAAAGAATAAAAGGAGGTGAGGAAATTTCTATTTGTCACAGAAAGGCTTTGATGTGAATAAGTAGTAGCAGGAAAACTTGACAATGAATAAGATTTAATTCCGAGTTTTGACTCAAGGAATATTTATTTTGAGTCTAAATTCAATGGAAGAGTTGAAATGAATTTTGACATTTGAGAAAATTTTTACAAAACAGCAATGACCAAGAGAAAGTTGGATCATTCTATTGTAGGGTGTGTTCTTGGGGAAATCTTTGGAAGTACTCTCACTTCTTTCATGCATACGGTGTTGTGATTACAGTACAATGAAAATTGCTATTCTCATTGCTCATAAAGTCAGTGCTGAAGGCTTACAGGTTAAAATTTAAGGAAGGATCAGAATTGGACTTATGGAATTTGAAAGAAAAACTGATGAGTGAAAGTATAGGTCTATGCTGGCTTAACAACACTTTGAAAACCATAGAGGTAGGATGCTAATGGAACAATTTAAATATAGTGTATCCCTTTGGGAATAAGGTCCCACCTGGAAGACCACAACATTTCTAAAACAGGCTGTATAAAGGCTAATGATTGTGTTGTCACACAAGCAAGTGAGCAGACTATTGTTTGTGAACTCACAAATAGGAAAAAGAGGTTTTGTCAACCTGAATAAATAGTGTGGGGGAATAAACAGACT